ATACGTTTAATTCTCATTGCAATCTCATGAGGTAGGTTCTTTTATCATTATTTCCATTTTAGAGGTGAGAAAACTAAAGCACAAGAAAAGGTAAGTAACGTACCCAAGGTCACAAAATAATAGGAGGTGGAGGCAGGAGGTAAAGCCAGGATCTGAATTCAGGTATTTTATACCAGCTGTGTTGCATGGATACACATGCAAATGCAAAAGAATTAGTAGGCCCTTCCCGAGTTAGATTGCAGAAGATACAGAACAGAGAAGATGTAAAGATGATTCCAAAGTGCTTCCCTTGATAGTAATAAGGGGAATGTTTCCAAATAAATAGAGTAAGAAGAAGAGTTGGTTTGATTTGTTTTTCAGACATATTGACTTTAAAGTAATGACAAGGTTCCAGGTGGAAAAGACCATTTGGGTAGGAGATCAGAACTGGAAATGTGAGCTGGTGATTTTTTTTCCCCCCAGTGCTGGGGACTCACACATGCTAGGCAAGTACTCTACCACTGAGCTACAAATCCAGCCCTGATTTTAATGCAGCAGGTTTAAATTGTGGTATTGAGAACAGCAGCATGTGTCTGCGAGTGCTAGGGGACAGAAGTCCAGGGGAAGAGAGGACATGTGTAGGAGGGACTAATCTAGTGATAGGATGGGGCTACTGAATAGGCTGAAGAGAGACAGTCTCGGGGAGCAAAACCAAAGCTAAGGGAACTGGTTAGGGTTTTTAGGGCCAGAGAACAAGGTTCAGTCCTTTGGCTTTAAGCTAGAGTCAATGCAAATACAATTGGTATCCAGGGGCAGGCGGCTGCTGACTTGGATTAGGTCAGTGGTGGCTGCTGGGCAGATCAGTTAGACGTTATCAGGCCTGAGAAACAAAGAGAGGGGGTCCAAATGGATACACATGGCCAGTTAAGTAAAGAAAGACTTAAATGTAGGATACACTTACAATCATTTGTTAGGTCTCAGACCTAAAGCGGTCCCACAGAGCACAGTGACATTTTAAGGTTACAGATTGTGCACATTCCTCCTGATACTTGGCCACCTGGCCTTCTAACTCCAGAACAAGGCACACAGCACTTGTCGTTGCCACAGCCTACAGCCCAGTGATAGCAGAAAAGGAAGTGGGCTGGGACCTGATTTAAATTAAGGATTTATCTTTCCTAAACTTCTTACACACCTAAAGCTTGGGAGGAAACACTGACCATCTAAATAGGGACAGGAAGACATTTTGCACTTCCAAAGTAACTTTAAAGTAAGATGTTGATAAACGTCATAATTATCTTAGTTCCCTAAACTCCAGGAGTAACTTTGGTGTGGTGACAAAGTATCCAAACTCATAGTTGGTGCAGATGCCTTAGTGGCACTGTCCACCTTCTAACTATTTTGTAATAAATTTCACCTATACTTCTCAATGGCCTATGTGTCTTTTTTTTTTCTCATTGAGTTTATTGGTACATTTTAGGTATACAGTACAGTTACCTTCATCATTGGGATCTTGTACCTTTATTGGCCTGTGTCTTGATTGAATTCTTTCATCAAGGGCACAATGGAACAAGGACCAAGGAAGTGAGGGTCTGGTTCCTCGCTTCGTTAGGACCCAGCTTCCTGGTGACAGTGACAATTAGACTCAACTAACATTTGAGGGCCTGAGGATGAGTGGTGAAAGAGGGCCAGAGACCATGTAAATATTTAAAAGCTTTAAATCAAGATAATAAACTGTTGCCAGGCATGGGGGTGCACACTTGTAATCCCAGCGCTCGGGAGGCTCAGGCAGGAGGATCGCTGTGAGTTCCAGGTCAATCTCGACTACACAGTGAGACCCTGTCTCCAAAAGGAGGAAAAAAAAAAAGACAATAAACTGTCAAAATTTACTTTATCCTCCTACCTTGATAAATACATCTTCATATGGACCAGGACGATCAGTTTAAATTGAGAATTTTCACACTCCTTGGAATTACCACTAGACTTTGGAGCTCAGAAGAGCAGGCTCTGGTCTATGGTTTGCCCTGCTTCTCTTTCCTCTGCACATATTTTGGAGTAATACAAATATATTGAACGTTTAAATTTGTTTGTTTTGAGACAACATCTAGCTGGCCTCAAATTTGCAGAAATCCTCCTGCCTCAGCCTTCCTAGGTATGTGCCACCATGCCTGGTCTGAACATTTAAATTTTACTTGACTTTTGTGATTGGAGGCATCTATCATGTTCAAGTATTGAGGATAAAAGAAATAAAATAGTAACCCCGCCCTCATGAAACTTGTTTAGAGTGTAGTAGTAGTAACAGTCAACAAATGGGAGCTATGATAGGTCGATTGTTCTTCTCAAGGATATTTTTTTCTCCTGGAGGTGCAAGATAGCCAATGGTTCTGAACTCGGAGACATGCATGCCCTCGGGCTCTGGATTGTGTGTGGGCTTCTGGTTGTCACCACCCCTGGGCATTCTTTCATACGTCTGACGGGGTCTCCCAGCGACGTCTTGTCGCGCCCAAAGTGCCAAGAGTGCCCTGGCTGAGACACAGGGCAAAGTACCGCTTCTCTCTGGTGCTCTGCTCAGGCCGGGCCTTGCTAGACCCGTGAGGGAGAGCGGGCGCAGGGCAGACGCAGAGGACCATAGCGAGCCCTGCTTCTCCTCCGAGCGGCGTCCGCGGGCGGCGGGGG